CGGGCGAGAAGGCCGGGCGGGCCTCCGCACCGACGCTCCCCGCCGACCGCGTGGCGCGGCGAACGCCAGCACAGCACCGGTGCGTGCACCATCACCAGAGCCGTCCAGCAGCGCCGATGGTATCACGGCGGCGCGCGGACGCGCCCAGCGGGCCGGCGAGGCTGGCGCGGGCCCTGCGGTAGCGGGGTCGGGCTCCGCCATGACTCGCGGCAAGGCGGGCGGAAGCGGCCGAGCCAAGCGAGATGGAGAAGGATGATGAGGAGGAGGAGCTGGGGGAGAAACGGGAGGAAGGGGAGCACGGGGTGGGGGGAAGGAGATCCTCCTCCCGTGGGAGGTTGTTTCCCGGCGCCCCCACCCCGCGCTCCGCAGGTGGCTGGTGTACGAGGCCGAGCCTGTCAAGGGCGGCGTGGCCTCGGAGTGGACGAGGCGTTGCGTTCGGCAGGCCGTCCGGTCGTGTGGGGGGGGGAGGTAAGGGACAAGGCAAAGCTGGGAGGAGGAGGAGAAGGAGGAGAAGAAAGAGCAGGAAGAGGTGGAGCAGGAGGAGGAGGTGGAGCAGGAGAAGGAGGAGGAGGCGGAGGAGGAGGAGGAGGAGGAGGATTCGTCCTCGAGGAGTCAATCAATCTGGGCTCCCACGAGGTGTCGGAGGAAGAGGAGCTATGCCCTTCCCCGTTCTCCCCCGCCCCCCGCCTGCCACCATACTGCTTCCCCCTCCTCCCGCCCACACGAAGGGCGGAGGGGTGGCGCAGGAGGAGGGCAGGGAGGGGGGAGAGGGAGCGGTGTTGGGGGAGCGGCGGACAGGGAGAGCGCCTTCGGAGGGCGGAGAGGTAATTCGACGGGGGACAGGTCTGGAAGGAGGACGAGAAGGTGATGACGATGATGGTGATGATGCTGATTATGCTGACGATGCTGATGCTGATGCTGAGGATGATGCAGATGCTGATGCTGATGCTGATGTTGTTTATGATGATGATGATGATGATGCTGATGATGATGATGATGATGATGGTGATGACGATGATGATGATGATGAGAATGATACTGGTAGTTCTGGCGATGCGGATGATGATTGATGGTTGGTGGTTGATGACTGATGGTTGTGATGCTGGTGATGGTGACGATGATGTTAATGTTATTGCTGATTTTGCTGATGATGATGCTGATGCTGATGCTGATGTTGTTGACGATGATAGTGATGATGCTGGTGATGATCACTGATTGTACATTTCGATGGTTACGATGCTGGTGATGATAATGTTGGTGTTGATGATGATTGTGATGAGGGTGCAGTTGGTGATGATGATGATGCTGATGTGGATGGTGATAGTGATGATGTTGATGCTGGTGCTGATGTTGATAATGATGATGCTGGTGAGAATCCCGATGGTGATGCTGATGATCGATGGTGGCGGATGATGAGGGTGGTGATGTTAATTGATGACGATGGTTGGTGATGTTGATGACGGTGATCATGGCGGTGATGATTAGTTGTGATGGTTGTTGTTACTGATGAGGGTGGTGGTGATGATAACTGGTGATGAAAAATGGTGATCATGTTGATGATGGGCTGGTCGTGATGGTGATAGCTGGTGGCGGTTGATGATGGTGCTGGTGATGGTGATGATTGCTTATGGTGATGGTGATGATGATGAGTTGTGATGTTGATGTTGGTAATGATGCTGATGATGATGGTGCTGATGGTGATTGATGGTGCTGATTGATTGTGCAATTGATAAGGTGTGGAGGTGGATGGTAAGGATGAGTATCATTATGATGATGGTGTTGATGCTGATGCCGGTGATGGTGTTGATGATGCTGCGGATATTGGTTCTGCTGATGTTGCTGATAACCATGCTGCTGCATGATAATGATTGTGGTGATGATGTTGATGATGGTGCTGGCGATGGTGATGATGATGGTGATGGTCATGCTGATGATGATGGTCATTGTGATGATGAAGATGGTGATTGCGATGGTGGTGATGATCGTGATGATGGTGATGATGTTGATTGTGAAGATGGCGATGACGATGCTGATTGGTATGGTCGGCATGCCGGTGCTGATTATGACAATGATGGTGGTGCAGATGTTGATGGTGGTGAGGTTGTTGATGGTTGTGCTTGTGATGCTGCGATTGCTGCTGGTGGTGATGAGAGTGACAATGATGATGGTGTACGTGGTGATGATATTTCTGATGATGGTGGTTGCGATTGTGAAAGTGATGAGGATGAGGATGATGATGGTGATGATTATGCTGATGATGGTAATGATGGCGATGATGGTTTGTCTGATATGCATGGTGGTGATAGCTACGACAATGATTATGATGTTGATGATGTTGATGATGTTGGTGATGACCATGCTGATGGTGAACCTGGTGGTCCTGATCACCATGATGAGTATCATGGTGATCAGGATGATGCTGATCCGTAGCCAGTTTGGCCCAGGCCCGTCGCGTGGCCCGAATGTCAGCAGCAGACGGCAGCACTGTGGCACTGGGGGCGTCAGAACCGCACGCGGCCCCGACAGCATTCAGATGAGGCATACGGTAATATCCTCGACGGCCTTTGCGTACCTATATCGTGCGGATGGCTGTTCTGCGGGATGCGCCTGGAAACAACTAATTTGTGCACTCACCGCGCGTCTTGGAAAAGGGAACGGCAATGGGGGCGACGACTGGTGGATCGAAGATTACCCGCCTTCGTCGAAGGGACAGTCGTCGAACCCAGGACAGCTCGCGGGCGACTCGGGCTGGCGGGGAAATCGTCGAGGAAGGTCCACGGTAGAGCGCATTGGTTATGGCAAAAGCCCTTCCAGGATCACCTCCCGTCGAAGAATTGGACGTGTGAGTGTGGTTGCAAGACTTCTCGCGATGCTGCGGTGCCCCCTCGTCCCCCATGGGGGCGCGCGGAGGCGGGGTTTGTCCAGTGGAGAATCGCCAGAGGTGCAAATCAAGAAGTTGGCAGCCATCCTGCCCGCCAGCCTCCAGACCGCAGTCCGGGGGCTCTTGCAGGGCCTCGACGAGCCCGCTCCCATGCTTCCACTCCAGCCAGGGCAGGGACCACAGCAAGCTGCGGATCGAGTCAGTCACGCGGGACAGCAGCTTGCGAAGGCCAAGGCTGCGTGGATCCGTGCCAAGGGTGACCAGGAGAAGGTTGGCCAGAACCTCGAGGAGGCCGCGGCTGAAGCGTCGCGCGCGGAGGCATGAGACCGCGGCACAAGCAGCTGTTGCCCACAACAGCTCTTCCAGGTAAGGGCACATCGGAGCTGGTCGACATCCAGTATGTGCTGGACGGCCAGTTCGGGCTGGACTTCACTTTCGAATCGCAGAAGGATGGGCCAGACGAGCTGGAGGCGGATCGAAAGTTGCCCAATTCTGCCGCGGACACATTGCAGAAAGCGTTGGCTGAGGCGGCAAAGGCTTCTCGCGGGCCCCATCAAGGCCAAGATCGACGAGCACAAGGCCCAGTTCCAGGGTGTCATGGAGAGAACTAAAAAGCAGCGCAAGGTCTCAAGAGTCGCGCCCGCTGCGGCCGCATCAGCTAGATCAGGAGGCGGGCGCGCCGAGGGGCAAACGCCCCAGCCTGCTGCCGCGGCGGGAGGAGGTGGCAACGTGGACTCCCAGCAGGCCCGCTTCGAGCAAGAGGCGGAGAACCTGGCGGGGTTCCACGGGGGGGCCTGCCACGGACGGGAAGGGGGGTCGCCGTCCTGATGTTGCGGCTCAAGACACGAGTCGTTTGCACATGTGTAACATTTCTGGATGTTTTTTTTTTCCCGCGAGGAGATGTACCAGCACCGGTCTCTTTCTGCGGAGGCTCAATAATTGTCCTTTTGCTCGATGGAGACGCGACTCACCTGACGTAATCATTTTCGTAGTAGGTGGGTGCAGCTTCGCATGGTCGAGCTCTTACCGCTGCGAGAGGCAGCTGCGTGACGTTCACAAAACAAAAAAAACAAGCAAAGACATCTACTCAAGAAGAAAGACAAAGACCACACCAGTAGACAGAAGGGCACGTGTCAGTAGACTTTAGGCATCACAGCACGAGGACGACGAAGAGACCTCATAACCCACGCGCGCGGGGTGAAGCGGATGCGCTCGCGCGTCGCATCCTTGTCACAGGAAGGGAGCGCGAAATTGATTTGCAACAGCGCAACAGCACTTGCGGCAGCGAGCACCCAGCTCAAGCAATGTTCTGCTCTGTCGTGCAAGGACAAAAATCAGCAGAGCGCTGTACCCCGCCACCTCGTTTTTGTCCTGGGGATTTTCCACGTGGCCAGCTGTTCATCCCACGTCTTTCTTGACAGGCCTGGGGGCCCATGGAGGGCCCAGGAATGCCAGACACGGGGGAGAGCACAATATGTTAGCCAGCGTGGACCCCAAACAGTGAATTCTTGCAGTCTACGCGGCGCAATCCATGTGGTGGTGGTGCAGTCCATCTGGTGCAATATGTGGCGCAAAGCAACGCAAAGCAATACAATGCAACGCAAAGCCATTCGATGCGATGCAGAGCAATACAAAGCAATGCGAAGCAATGCCTGAAACGGAACACAAAGCAACGCAGTGCGAAGCAATGCAAGGCAATGCGACGTGATGCGATTGCAATGCGATTGCAGTGCAACTTGCTGCGAAGCCATGGAAACCAAGGCAAAGCAATGCGGTGCGATGCGGTTGCAATGCGATTGCAGTACGCTTGCAGTGCAAGGCAATGCGATAGCAGTGCAAGGCGGCAATGGGCGGCCGCGAGCCGGCTGGACCGCCACCGGGGCTCAGTTTGCCAGCGGCGACGGCGGTGGCGACGGGCGGCGAGGGGCGGCCACGAGCCGGCCGGACCGCCCCTGGAGCTCAGCTGCAACAGAGAGAGCAAGCACGGGCCCCGAGTGCAGGCACGGTTTTTTGGGGGAACATCAAATCGGAGGTTGGCAGACCTCCTACCCTGACACGTCGATTAGTGAATTGGCCGTTTTCGGTTCGCGAGAGGGCATCGCGGCCGGTAGTTTTGCGGGTCCAGGTTCCAAGGCCGTTTTCACTAAAGGGTGGTTTACTAAAGGAGGCTTGTCCACCGTCGAACAAAGCCAGATCAGAAGCCGGGCGAAGGCTGGCAAACCCGTGGCTGCTAAAACGGAACTCCAGGAAAAATATGTTTGTCTCTTCGGGGAAGCAGCCTGTTTATTTTATCTAGCGCGTTGAGCTTTCTTCCGGGAAGTTGTCTCTTTCTTCCGGGAAGATCGTTTTAGCCTATAGCAGCCACGGATTTGCCGGCCCTCGCCCAGCTTCCGACCGGATCCGTCTCCCTCCGGGTCCTTCCCCTTCGCTTGGCACCGCTCGGACGTGTGCATCTCTTCTCTGCGAGATCCCTCGAGGACCACCCTGGACCACCGAGCAACAACAAAAACACGCACGAGGCCGAAACGTGCACGGGAAGCGGACGTCCGAGGGACGGCAAGTTCGTCGTGGCGAGCCGGCGCGCGCCCGGGGCTTCCCTCCGCGCCCCCGGGCCGGGAACGCCTCCCCCCGCGCGCGGGCGCGCGCAGGCCGACCACATCCTGGTCGCCGCGAACTTCGACGGCAGCAGGCGCCTGCAGGGAGAGGGGGAGGGGTAGCGCATGGGGAGCCAGCAGAGCGCCTCCACCGCCTCAAGCTCCATGTGCTGCCGATCCCCCTCTCCCCTCGTCCTCCTGAGCGACGTGCGCTCCTCTTCCTCCACCTCCTCCTCCCTGCACCTTCCTCCTCCCCCTCCTCCCTCCTCCCATCGTCCCTCTCCTGCTCCCCCGTCCCTCCCCCATCCCTCTCCTTCCTTCCTCTCCGCCGCGCGCCCCCAGCCGCGGCGACGTGGCCACCACGCCAAGCGAGCGCTACGTCGAGGAGCGGCGGCGCCCACCCCGCCCCTCCCCCCCATCCCCCATCCCCCTCCGAGGATGATGATGATGATGATGATGATGATGATGATGATGATGATGATGATGATGATGATGATGACGATGATGATGATGATGATGATGATGATGATGATGATGATGATGATGATGATGCTGATGCTGATGCTGATGCTGATGCTGATGCTGATGCTGATGATGATGCTGATGCTGATGCTGCTGCTGCTGATGATGATGATGTTGATGATGATGATGATGGTGATGGTGATGGTGATGGTGATGGTGATGATGATGATTATGATGATGACGATGATGCTGCTGCTGATGCTGATGCTGATGCTGATGCTGGTGAGGATGAGGATGAGGATGATGGTGAGGATGATCATGAGGAGGAGGAGGAGGAGGAGGAGGAAGAGGAGGAGGAGGAGGAGGAGGAGGAGAAGGAGCGGTGGGGGGAGAGGAAAGGGAGAAGGGGGAGGAGGTTTCGTACGAGGAGGAGAGCGGGGAGGAGGAGAAGGAGGAGGAGGAGGACTACATGTTAACATGCAAGCGTTCAGGTGACTGGGGAGGAATAGTAACCCTGTTGCCTTTGGCTCAAGTGTTTAACGGCTGAAGCTACCGAGACTTGCTTCGCCGTGCGGGAGTATAAAGGTGACCTATCATCATCATTGTTACCAGGCTCCCGTGCAGAACCCTCCTCGGGGTTTTGCATGGTAGCGGAGCGCGGTTGCCATGGCGGCGGCGGCGGCCGCTGCAGCTAGGCCTGGGCAGGGCGACCCGCCGGTTAACATCAATGTGCCGGCAGACAGAGACGCATGGGTCAACATGGACCCCAACCGATTCAACGACCTGTGTGAGCAAGCGTACCTGAGCGGAGACTTCAGTTACGTCCAGACAGCGCTACTCGCGAACCATTTCGGACTCGCAACGTTCATCAACGAGCGAGTGACACAGGACCGAAGGGAGGTATCGAACGCCGAGGCATTCCAAATGTTACAGAGTGCTCATAAGACCAACAGCATGTTGTTAGCGGTTACAAAAAGAAATGCTGCACTTGAAAGGGATGCTCGCAGACTGGTGGAAAGAGTTACCGAGTTGGAGACCAACAGCGAGGTACAAGAAAAGTTGATTGAAAAATTTGGTCAGCTTTCGGAGGCAATTAAAGGAGGAAGTGGAAGCAAGCACGGGAGCGGTAAACCGATAAGCGAATATAAGGCATTACAGGCGTTAAAGAACTTCAGTGGAGAAAGAGCAAAGTTCAGAGACTGGAACGACAAGTTCTTAAACGCACTGGCCCAAGTAAAACCGAGATACCGACCGGCGCTGAAAATGCTAAACAAGAAGTTGGAGACGCTCGACGGAGTTGTACCAGAGGAGGACGATGATGACATCATACGCACAACGAACGGCCGATTAACAGCGAGCGAATACTTGAAGGCGAATTCAGCTAAACAAGCAGAGGATGACAACAAAGGAGAGTACGAGTTTACCGAGGGAGACAAAACTCAAATGGAGGAAGACTTATGGTACATTCTCAACGAGAAGCTAGAAGGTGCAGAAGCGAGAGGAAAATTAAAGGGACTTATGGATGGAGATGGAATCATGGCTTGGCAAAAGGTCTACAAATGGTACTCGGCCGTTACCGGAGCGACTCTGTCATCAAAGATGACACGCGCCATGAACCCTGAGCCGCCCAAGAAGATTACTGACACCGTTACCCGACTTGAGGAGTGGAGCGCATTGGCAGAAAACCTTGAAAAGTACGGTAAAGATTACTCGCTGCCTCTTCCTTTTAAAGTCACCGCACTCAGGGCAATAATGGTGCATGCGAACGATTGGTTTGATGAATGGCAGCAGGCGTGCTGGCGAACGCCCGACGCGCTTAACATTGACTCATTCCAGAAGTTATACTCCAAGTGCGAAGACTGGGCGCGTAAAAAGAAACTCGACTCAGACACAAAAAATAAAGATGCGATGGACATTGGGAACATCAACGAGATGGGTTAAGGGTCCGAAAATGTTTGGGACCAAACAGGATGGGTTGACGAGGACGGAAACTGGTGGCCAGAAGATGGATCGTGGAGTTACGGGTCCTGGGCCAATGAGAGTGACAGTGGGGACCATGAAGAAGTTGACGCCGCAAACAAAGGCAAAGGTAAAGGCGCGGGCCCCAAATGCTACAATTGTGGAGGCGTGGGCCATTTAGCCAGAAATTGCACAAGACCTAAACAGTTTACCAAAGGAGGTAAAGGTGGCAAAGGCGGAAAAGGCAAGGGTTACCGGGCCACCTACGGATCCTACGTGAAAGGTAAGATCGGCGGTAAACAAAGTGGTAAAGGAAGTGGCTCGTGGGGTGGAAGTTATGGAGGCCAAGGAAAATTCACCCCCCATAGCGAGCGTGAGTGTTACAAGTGCGGTGCCAAAGGGCACATCGCCATTAACTGCCCGGGCTCCAAGAAGACCGCCGACGAAGTTGAGCGGGAGAGACCTACAATGAACGCTGAAAGTGAACAAACTACCTCGTTCGGCCAACCGCAACATGTTCTCAGCGTTGAGATGAAGGACGCAGTGAACGTGCCACTGAACCCACTCGCAACTGAGGAGGTTAACGGGCAATGGGATCTGCCCTCATATGCCAGAAAGAAAATGGCGCGTAGGACTGCGATGAGTATGAAAAGAATTTACCAGGAGCATCAATGTAACGGAGATTGTAATCATGTGAGTCAATGGGACCAGAGGATAAGTAAAAGCATAAAACAGGAAAAAAAAAGTTGGCTAGAGAAATGCAGAGAAATTGGGCTAATTGAAATGCGAGACTGCGATCCAGAAATTAACGCGGTGCCACCGCTGAGTGCAACGCATGAGACGATCGTGGTCACCGTGGACTCTGGGGCGTATAACACAGTGGGACCCCCCAATGTTGGCACCTATTTCCCCATTAAGCATACGGGCGCGTCAAAGCAGGGAAGACATTACAGCGCAGCGAATGGGACAACGATAAAGAATTATGGTCAACGAGTGATCACGGGCAAAAATGAACATGGGAACGCAGTCAGTATGCCGATCCAGGTAGCAGAAGTCAACAAAGTTCTGGGACCCGTCAGAGAAATGGTAAACGCTGGAAATAGAATTGTGTTTGACAAGGATCTTAACGGGAGGTCCCTGAGCCACATCATAAATAAGGCCACAGGCAAATTCACAACTATCCACGAGAAGAACGGCACGTTTCAGTTCAACATTACGGTGCCGAGGGGACCAGCGGAAGCTGCCAATCCCAGGAGCGAAGTGAATGCAGCTGAGGGTTTTCCGCGGCCGGGAACCCTGGAGGCGGACCTGTTCTACTAAGCCCCCCACTACCCGTAAGACCAAGGGAAAACTTAAACGTCTTCAACACCGAAGGAGACGAAGGGAGTGAAAGCGGGGGCAACGAGAGTGAGTTGAGTGATGTGGAAGATGTATTTGTGAGCGACGAAGCGGAGTTACCGAAGAAAGTTTACTGTGACATGAGGCCCTCAAAGGAGGAAGTTGAGACGCATAACACGACGCATTTACCTTGCCGAAGCTGGTGCCCACATTGTGTTAGAGGAAAAGCACGCAGGCGCAATCACCGTAGACGCAAAAGAGAAGGGAGCGGAAACGTGCCAGCGATTTCAATGGACTACATGTGGCTTAAAGGAAAAAAGGGAGAAGGTGAAAGTGCCAGTAATGGCAACCCAATTCTGGTCATGCATTGCAGGGAGACCAAATTAACATGGAGCAGAGTGTTGATGAAAAAAGGAGTGGGCTCATACTCAGTAAAGGTGGGATGTGATATGATCAGCTTTACCGGATACAAGAAGGTTGTTCTCAAAAGCGATGGAGAAGCAGCAATCACGGCACTGGCCAATAGAATTAAAGCGTCGTGCGACCTTGACATGGGTGTTGAAGTCAGTCCAGTAGGTGACTCAAAGGCCAACGGTGGAATCGAGAGGGCTGTTAGAACGGTGCAGGGTCAAGTCAGAACGTTAAAGAGTGCCTTGGATGCCAATTATAAGATTGAGTTTGGTGAGAGTCACCGATAATACCGTGGCTGGTGAGCTATGCGTCTTCTCTGATTAACAAGTTCACGATATATACAGATGGGAAGACAGCCCATGAGAGGTGCAGGGGAAGAAAGTTTAATAAGCAAATTCCTGAATTTGGTGAATGTGTCATGTACTTAAAGACGCCTGCACACAAGGGCCGCGAGAAGCTTGAAATGAGATGGGAAAGTGGAGTGTTTTTGGGGATAAACGAGAAGAGTCAGGAGTTGATTATTGGGACACCACATGGGGCAATTAAGGCGCACGAGTTTAAGCGAAAAGGAAGTGAGGCGGAAAGATGGAATATTGTCGAGATCACCGAGATGAAGGGGTTACCTTGGCAGCCTGACCCCAGCACGGCAGGAATGGAATTACAGTCTAGAATCATGGTACCCATGGACTTACCAGAGCAAGAGTTAACTGCACCTGAGACGAAGCCGCTTATTGCACGAGGAATCGCTGTAAAGAAGCATGAATATTTAAAATGGGACCGACGCCGGGATGTTACGGATGTAAATGTCTCGTTAGAGGAGACAAAGAGCACAAACCACATAACGCTGATTGCAGGACTCGGGTTATCGAGTGGTTAAAGAAACAAGAGAGCCCAAACATCCAGGCAAGGCTAGCATCTGCCCAACTGAGACTCGAAAGTAAAAGCCGTGCGCC